TAATCGAGGCTAACAATTTAGAAACTATATTAGTTAGACTTATTCCCCTGTGATTGTCACAAGAGGACTTCTGTCCTTTCTTGTAGATTGGGACAATTAGCGACTGAGACCAGTCAGATGGGATTACGTCCAGTTCCCAGATTCTACCTAGGATCTCGGTCAGTCTAACTGTTAAAACTGGACCACCATCCTTAAACATCTCAGGGGTAAGCCTATCAGGACCTGCCGCTCTACCTCCCCTTAGATTTCCTATAGCTTTCTCAACTTCATGTAAACTGGGAGGACTTAAATCGATTTGCCATTCAGGATGACTGGTGATCGTGGGCAACGGAAGTGTGGCTCGAGGCCAGTTGAACTGATTCCTAAAGTGTTCTGCCCATCGGTCCAGCCTCCTAGATTGAGAATGGATAATAAGACCATCCTTTTCCGAGATAGTCTCACTCACATTCGGGTTCCTAATACCGGTTTCTTTAATAAGGCGGAAACGTTGTCTAGTGTTGCCGATTGCCGCTGCCTTTTCCATCGCTTTAGCTTTCGCCACCCACCACTGTTCACGGTCGTTACGTAGGCTTTTTATAAGTCTGCGCCTAAGCTGACTACGCTCTTCATCATGTTCAGAGTCAGGTGGGATGCGTTTTCGAGCATCCATCAGTTCGGCGGATGCGACTGAAATCCACTGCTTCATCCTAGCCTTGTGGTTTACCTTGCTAGCAGATACCATTGCTGTTTCCACAGCCTTCTTGATATGATTCCAACCTGCTTCAGGATGGGAATCACTTGCATGGCCGCCTAACTGTTTTTCTAGTTCCTCCTGAAATATTTTCTTAGCTTGATTATCATCAAGTGAAGCCCTAAGAGGCTTGCTTACGGTGTCTTTCCTACGTCCAGCAAGCCTCAAACAAATACGTGCTCGCACTAGGGCATGATCTGAATCTAAACATGTGTCCCAGAACGAGCGACAGTCCTCTATCGAACCCCTCTATCGGTGGCTGATGGCGATGTGATCTAGTTGTGTCCAACGTTGAGACGACTTCGGGGGTCGCCAGGTCAAAAGGTGTTTTTCTTTATGCTTAAAATTAGTGTTTGCTAGAAATAGTTGGTTATCTGAGCACAGTTGCAACAGACGGTCGCCATTGTCTGTTCTTTGAGCCGCGAGACCGTAACATCCACCTAGGTGTCTTTCATTTTCACTCAGTCTACCTACTTGTGCATTGAAGTCACCAGCCATTATAACTATATCAGAGCGCTTAACTTTTCGAAGGAGGTCCGAAAGCTTTCTGTAAAATTCATCTTTTACATCATCTGGGCTGCAGTCAGTGGGGGCGTAGGCTGATATTACGAAGAGGCAACGACGAGTGTCCCTATCTTTCCGAGTCCTTACTGTCCGGTTCAGTCGGACGGCGCACAAGCGACTATCTACAGGGATCCAGTCAAGGAGAGATTGTTCTGCCCTACGACTCAATGCTATACCTACACCGACGAGGCCCCTAGAAGCAGCATCAGGGCTACCGGATACACGAAGGGTAAATCGAGCTGCTTCTTTATCTTGACATGGTGAGGTCAAATGAGTGATGCTACTCGGATCCTGTATGCGCGTTTCCGAGACGCAGCACACATCGATGGAACGAGATTCTGGAGTCCTAGCTAATGATGCCTGTTGCCCTATTTGACACAATGTCCGTACATTGAATGCTCCAACATGTAGTTTGGAACGGGGTTTAAGGAGACCAGGAACGACGTTTCGCAAACTCGCATCGTTTGCATTAGCTGTGCACTGTAATAAATGAATGTGAGAGTAGTTAGTTGTGGAGATAAGAGAGGTATTAGGGAAGGTAGGAAGGATTTGATTTTGAACAATTTGGTCTCGTGTGCTGTTACGGGTATGAGGGCGGTTATCACTTCCCGGCTGCCCACACCGTGGAAGGTTGTTTCTTGACGAACCTGGAAAGGAAGATGGATTAGTGTTGGTGCGTGACCGCAGAGTCCAAGGGACAACTGCTTGAGGCCGGTCACGCACGGCCTTTTTATGAAACGTTGTTTGAGGATTAGCTCCGTTCTTAAAGTCCCTTAGTGGGCACCCTTACCCAAGGAGACGGAAATCCGTGAGGTAGGTTGAGGCGTGACATTTTTAGGGCCGACCTTTTCTAACCCTTCCTTCCTTGTGAGAAGGCAGCATCGCTGCAGATGCTGGTTGTCCGAGGGAAACACCTTACTGCTGTCAGACCCCTCTGCAGTCAGCAGTACGACTTCACCCTCAGACCTTGGGTAGCTGCTTTTAGTCTCATCGTTCTCCAATCGACCTGCCTGGCATGGTAGGACCTGCAGGAACATGTGTTCCAACCAGTATAGCTCGGTTGGGTCATGACGATAGGCAAGCCTGACCACCACGTCAAGGTAGCAGCTTCGGTCGGGAAAGATAAAACAAAAAGGGGACGAAAATATTGGTCATTGATAATCATTACTATATTAGGTAAATGAAACTATTAATCACCAAAACATTAGGTTCGAACGACTAACAATTGTAATTTGACAATTAACTAAGTTTAAACTTCAAATCAACTGTGATTGGGCATTGTACTCATACTCTTGACAAATCTATACAGAACCAAAATGTATTGCATAAAATCTATTATTTTTCATTGTTATAGTATATTAATATGTGTTTAATAGCGCATTCCCACATAGAAGACTAACATCCAAATTTCAATGAATGATTATGATCTAAAAAATAGAAATAATAGTAATGAGGTGTTTGGGACATCTGTTATTCCTACTTCGCTACAGCTTTCCCTTACTATTAACTCTGAGTAACATTGTTAGAAGTAGTCAATGAAGTTGTTTTTCATTGATCTGATTTATTTAGCAGCATAATAAGTGTGGTGTGGTTCAGAGTTGGTTTCAACGACACACGTTCCCCTATTTATTAAGTATTAACATGGTTTCATATTTTCCTTATATTTAATCTCATTTATGATTGACTGATTGGATTGAATAATGATTTATTAAATTTTCTGGTGGTAAAATGATGTGTACCATTTAGTTAATTTTTATTACAAACATCACAATACCAATCATAATGGTTGTTATCTTATCCTTATTGATTAGGTGTCCATCTTTATGACACATCTTGTCAATTATGGAAATGACCAACTAGCTCTTTATTTATTTAATACTGCTTTTGAATTTATGAGAAATTGGACAAATATCAAACTAATTACATCTCCTCCATTAGAATTAGCTAATATCTACTCTGAACGTTTCAATTTGCATGGTGTTAATGAACTTCCATTGTATTCGGATCCTTGTCGTAATTCACATCTTCATGAATTATGGCCAAGTGATTGGCCTTGTGGTTCAAGTCATTTGCCAAGTTTTATTATAATCGGACCTCAAAAAACTGGTTTGTTTTAAATTTATGACAGTTGAATTTTTACATTTTTTCTTGTTAAATGTATTTTGGGAATTTTATTTTATCGAATGTAGAGTGACATTACTCTTTCTTCCGCTATACATACAAGTTAATGTTTTTCATAATTTTTAATCATTACCATAGTTGTTGAAAAGCTCCCACTCGAATATATAAACTTTTTACTAAGTTCTCATCATGTTCTACTACTATAAATCCAAAGAGAAAGCCCAGTTCAAAGCAAACACATCATTCAAAATTATTGTTTATGAAATTAAGGATTGTTCGTAAAATGAAACATACTGTGAATATTGGAGTTATTTATTTGTAATGCTCATATGAATCTAGGTTATAAATCAATTTGATCGATGTTCATGGAATTGTTACTATTCAAAAATGAATTATTAAACAATAACGAATAATTGGTTTGCAATATGACAAAATTTAAGAATGAACGTTTTAAGGAGGCCTATATAATTGCTTCAGCTGATATTTCTAGGATATTCATGATAATTTTAATCTGTGATCTATCAACGATATCATGTTTCTTTTTCACGACATGTTCTTCCGAATAAATAAAGATTTTTCACATTTGATTTGCCTGATGTTTGCAATACACCGGTACTAGTATCATCAGGAAACTCCATAACCCCAGCTGATGGATTAGGCACATCCACTGGCAGATCACAGGTTTCATTCACTACTGGATTGGAGCTGGTAGATAATACAATGTTTGGAAAACTTGTTGATAATGGTAGTGAATCAAGTCTTTCAATTTTGCGCTGTGAAAAAGACAGAATAAATAATGTTTCATCAAAGTAGACAAATCACAATCAATCGAGACACAGGTGAAACTGTGTGATTTAAAGTTAACAAGGATACGTTGTTTTCATTACAAGGTAGGTAATTCGGAAAGGGAATATTTCGATGCCAATATCGAAAACAACATAATTTCCAATGTTTTTTTTTCGTTTAAAAATGTTATGGAGAACGTTGTCCAATGCTTACAGGTTTATAATGGTGGTCTAACAATGATTTAATCATGAATTCAATGTACAATTTTCATCATGGAAAAAAAAATGAAAGAATGTGACTTGTAGGCTTACCAGTACATGACAATTCATAATCACAGAGTAATCGAAAGTTAATCCCAGAAACTTTTTAACAAATTAGTTATCATGTTTTCAAAATCGTATTTTCTTCGATGTCACATAATTTCATTTAACCTCTTCCGTTAACTTCAATTATTTTGTCAAATAAATTTATCATCCATCTCTCTTCATTTACATAATAATGCTATGTTAAACTATATTAATAGTTTTACAAGGCATTTTATTTGCGCATAAGTGTCCTTTTATTGTTACTGTGTATACATTATTTACATAATCTATCATTATATCGTTATGTTTATCCAGTTCACTGTTTTGTTTGTATCACCTTTTTATTTAGGTTCTACAGCTCTATTACATTTTCTTTTATTAAATCCTGAATTAATGTCTAATCAGTTCCAGCATGATTCTACTTTCGAAGAATTACAATTCTTCAGTTCTGATGATATTTACTCACGTGGTGTACATTGGTATATGAATCAGTTTCTAAATAATTCAATTATTTCTCCGACAAATGTTCATAATTTTAATAATAACGATAATAGGTCTAATTATTTCAAACACTATTTTGTCGAACAAATACGATTTGAGAAATCAGCGACATACTTTGATAATCCTAAAACTCCACCACGAATTCAAGCTCTAATGCCGAAGGTGAAATTAATTGTTCTTCTACGTAATCCAGTAGAACGAGCTTATTCATGGTATCAAGTAAGCTTTCTTAAAGAATTTTTGTTATTTAGGCAAATCTAATGCAAATTAATTTATCTACTATACATATATTTTCTTACATTTCTCTTACTGTTACATTTGTGCTCGGATTAATTTATTTTAAAAGGTACACGTCAGATTATCTAGTGAGTTTCTGTGCACTAACATTTACGGTTTTTTTTTGTTAACTCTGTTAATTTTTGTTGAATGATCGTTCCTCTTTATTTAACTTTTTTTAATTTGAAGTATTTTAATCAATAAAAATACGCTTATGGTTTGAGTTCCTTTAACTACAAACTTGTCATGAATAATGTTGATTAACTTACATATTTACTATTTTTACGAATTTACGAATTATTAGTTATCGTGTGATAGTGTGTTTATAAACTGGTTTAACTGTATGTATTTTTTAAAGAATATCAGGTTGATCAATTCAAAAACTAGTGTATTCATAGTGTAACCTAAGAGTTGTATCTCTTACTTCAAAATTTACCATTTTTTTTATATAAGTTAACCCGTAACTTTCCAATTTTATTACTATGATTACAGTCAACTTACACTGTATGCTGGACAATTTCAATTCTCATTGTGAACATTACATTTATTTTTTTCTTGTAAAGCATCGTCTAGCTCATAAAGATATTGCTCCACAGTTATTGTCTTTTGTTGACCTGATGCAGTATGGTCATAATCTAACTGAGGCTATTCTCCTTAGGATTGTACCTGCCGATAGATTTCTTAATCTATCTATCAATACTAATAATTCAAGTTTAATGCAGCAACTTGTATTCAGCATTAACCACTTATGGTCTCGGTGTATTGGCCCAGGGAATTATGAACAATATTTACGTAACTGGTTGACATATTTTCCAGCCTCACAGGTACCTATCAACTTTTATTCATGTGTTTATTTATAACCGTTATGATTAAAGATGTTTAACACTCAGTTATAGTTACAATTCAAAAAATTTATGAGAAATAAGACTGAACTGATTCGTCATAATCTTTTTGATTTAAATGAGTTACTCTGATCACTAAACACACCAAGTACTCATTTAACTTTTTTGTATGGTGTGAAACTGTAAAGAAAATTAACTATTTAGCCGTCTGAACAGTCTTCTTGTATTACAGGTCAGTCAATCTAACTGTAAAAACTGGACCAACATCCTTAAGAATCTCAGGGGTAACCCTATCAGGCACTGCTGTTCTCTTACGTTTTGTTATAGCTTCTACAACTTCATAAACACTCAGAGGACTTACATCGATTTGCCCTTCAGGATGACTGGAGATCGTGAGCAACCAAAGTGTGGCTGAAGGACAGTTGAACTGATCCCTATAGTGTTCTGCCCATCGACCCAACCTCCTGGGTTGAGAATTAATAATAAGGCCATTCTTTTTTTAGATATTTTCGCTAACAAATGGATTTCTAATACAGGTTTCCTTGATAAGTCGGAACAACTGTCTATTGTTGCCTATCGGCGCTACCTTTTCTATCTCCCTTGTTTTCGCTACCCACCACTGCTTTCGATCATTGCGTAGGCTTTTTATCAGCCTGAGCCTGAGTTGATTCCGCTCCTCATCGTACTCAGAGCCAGGAGGAATGAGCTTTTGAGCATCCATCAGTTCGGTAGATGCTACTGAAATCCACAGCTTAGCTAAGAGTATATTTCAGTAGCAAGTGAAATAAGGGTAACGCGACCGTAACTGCTACCTCACTTGGTAGTCGGGCTTGCCTATCGTGATGACCCAACCGAGCTATACTGGCTGGAACTTATGTTCCTGGTTTGGGCAACCGGGAAGTGACATCCACCCTCATACCCGTAATAGCACACCAGAACGAACTAGTCACAATCAAGTTCCTCCTACACTCCCAACATCTCTCATCTCCACGACTAACTAATCTAACATTTTCATATCAACCTGCACCGCTAATGCAAACGATGCGAGTTCACGAAACGTCATTCCTGGTCTCTTGAAACCTCGTTCTAGACTACATGTTGGAGCATTTGATGTACGGACATTGTGTCAAATAGGATAACAAGCTTACTTAGCTAGGACTTTAGAATCTCGTGCCATCAATGTATGCAGCGTCTCCGAAACGCACATATAAGATCCTAGTAAATCATTAATTTGATATGACCTTGTCAAAATAAAGTAGCTCGATTTACTCTTCGTGCATCTGGAAGCTCTGATACTGCTTCCGGGGGTCTCGCTGGTGTAGGTATAGCATTGAGTCTTAGGACAGAAGTAGCTTTCCTAGACTGGATCCCAGTAGATAGTCGTTTGTGAACTGTCCGACTGAACGGTACAGTAAGGACTCGTAAAGATAGGGACACTCGCCGTTGCCTCTTCGTCGTATCCGCCTACGCTCCCATCGACTGCAGTTCAGACGAGGCGAAAGATGAGTTCTACAGAATGCTTTCGGACCTCCTCCAAAATGTTAGTCGCTCTAATATAGTAATAATGGCTGGCGACTTTAATGCTCAAGTAGGTAGGCTAAGCGATTCTGAAAGAAACCTGGGCAAACTAGAGAAAAACAGGCTGGCTTTCGACTTGTACGTGGATTTATAGACCAGATATAGACATTCTTTCCGACGTCCCACAATAGCAGTATTTCTCGACCTTAAGACAGCATTTAGATCTGTCGATCGTAAGGTTCTGTGGCAGTGTCTGTAATTAAAAGACGTACTAATGAAGTACATTAACCTTATACAAGCTCTCTACTCGAAGACTACTGGTCGAGTGAGAGCTTATGGCCAAACGTCATCGGAATTCTTTACTTGAAGTTGTGTCCGTCAGGGCTGTCCAGTATCTCTATTCTTGTCTACAAATCTGTCATAATTGAATGATCTAATGCAAAAGTGAATCAGTGAAGCATCGGCTAGTCCAAACGATTTTCTCCAGTAAGGGTTGTATAGTAAACGGAAAACATGTGTTAATAAATCATAGTAATTAGGTTTTTAGTTTAATGTTGTGTTACGTAAATACATTGGTAGTTCCTATGACATTGGCTGAGTCTGTCATCAAACCTCATTTCAAGGACGCCAACAAAGTCATCAGACAATAATTATCAATCAACGAGAATAAGAATGAAGCGATTAGAATATATAACTAATTTGAGCTGTTATCATGCAACTTTAGAATGCACAGCTGTTACTTGCCTCAATTTTAATCTATGTATGACACAGTCTTATCGAATAATTTATTCAGATGTGTGGTCTTCGTTTTTTTAACAAATTCCTTTTCAGATATTACTTTTAGACGCAGATAGATTTTCTCAAAACCCAGTGCCTATTATGAAGATTGTACAGCAATTTATATTAGTTCGTAGGCCGTTAGATTATTCGCAATACTTACAGTAAGTGTATATGTAATTTTAGATACTTTTACTTTTTATGTTTTCATAATGATTTCAGTCATTACCTGATATCAATCGAACCAGAGAGTATTGAACGACTGTTCCGTTGTGGTTTAAGACTATTTATCAGTACACATTACTGACCATAAAACATTTATTGTCAGCTGGTTTTGCAACTAAATACAAAAAATATATGTTACTTAATAACTCAAATAGTAGTTTGCTCAAGTCATCTTTGTGATCTTAATATTAGATGATGACAGTAATTTCATAATTAGTGTCTCTGATAATCATATATATATATAACAGTTATGAACAAAAAATTATGCTTATTGTCGCAAATTATTCGTGGAATCGGAGATAAGACAGTAGATACTCGAACTGATATGCACAACTGAAAAGCCGTAATTGCTTTTGCTATTGATTTGCTATTACTTCTTTGAAAATGTTGACCCTTACCGAAAGTTCTTCCTTAAATCATACTGAGGTTTTCTGTAGCTGGCATATGAAAGATATAACAGCGACCTCTCTAAACAACTCAATATTCTAAGTTGTTGTACTAAATCTTTTACAGATCTCTCAATGATGTCCATCAGTGTCTGCAAAATATTTTTCAGTTTCCCAACTTCTGGTATCTTAGCCAGGCTTAACACTGTTGACTGTAATGTCCTTACATACTTACTAGCGTTTCTTGCCCCCAGTAACGCATAGGCCGCCGACCAGCATTCTCCAAATAACTATGTCCTGTGTCTTTCTTTCCGCTGCTGTCCAACTGTTATTCATTCTTCTCATGTGTATATCCCTTCCTCGACCCCAGGCTGCCGATCTCGAAGCTAGGCGTTTACGGAGTCTTTCTTTCTGTTTAGCAACACTGTTGAAGACTTTGCCTATTATTGAGAGAAGATTAATGCCTTTGTGGTTCTTACAGTTGCTGAGATCGCCATTCTTTGGTATCTTGATCAGGTGTCCTTCATTCCAGTCTGTTGGTACATATCTTTCGTTCTCCTTGGTACTTTCCTCTTCCCTGAGTAGATCGTGAAAGGCCTCGGAAGTGATGTTGTCGGCCTCATTGTCCAGTGCTTCTTAAATTTCAGTTTCGTCTTGTCGACCAGCAAGTGATGGTCTGAGGCTATATCAGCTCCTCTCTCAATTCTCACGTCCTCTATCGTCCTTCTGTACTTCTTTTTCATGTGGATGTGATCGATCTGATTCTGTCTAGTGTGACCCGGTTAAACCCTTGTAACTTCGTGTAAGCATTTGTGTGGGAATTTCGTCCGCCATTGACCATTTTGTTGAAGGCACAAACCCGGCCGTTGCTGCTACCTTGACGTGGTTGTCGGGCTTGCCTATCGTGATGACCCAACCGAGCTATACTGGTTGGAACATATGTTCCTGAAGGTTCTACCATGCCAGGCAGGTCGATTGGAAAACGATGAGACTAAACACAGCTACCCAAGGTCTGAGTGTGAAGTCGTACTGCTAGCTGCAGAGAGGTGTGACAGCAGTAAGGTTTTTCCCTCGGATAACCAGCATCTGCAGCGATGCTGCCTTCTCACAAGGAAGGAAGGGTTAGAAAAGGTCGACCCTAAAAATGTCACACCTCACCCTACCTCACGGATTTCCGTCTCCTTGGGTAAGGGTGCCCACTAAGAGCTTTTAAGAGCGGAGCTAATACTCAGAAATCCTTTCGTAAAAAGGCCGTGCGTGACCGGCCTCAAGCAGTTGTCCCTTGGGCTCTGCGATCATGCAACCAGGTCTCTAAGACTGACACTAATCTACCTTCATTTTCAGGTCCCTCAAGAAACAACCTTCCACGGTGTGGGCAACCGGGAAGTGAAAACCGCCCTCATACACATAACAGCACGCGGTCAAAATCAAATCCTTCCTATCTCCACGACTACCTCTACTCACATTCCTTTATTTCACTACACCGCTAATGCAAACGATGCGAGTTCTCGAAACGTCATTCCTGGTCTCTTGAAACCCCGTTCTAGACTACATGTTGGAGCATTTGGTGTACGGACATTGTGTCAAATAGGATAACAAGCTTCTTTAGCTAGGACTTTAGAATCTCGTGCCATCAATGTATGCAGCGTCTCCGAAACGCACATATAAGATCCTAGTAAATCGTTAATTTGATATGACCTTGTCAAAATAAAGTAGCTCGATTTACTCTTCGTGCATCTGGAAGCTCTGATACTGCTTCCGGGGGTCTCGCTGGTGTAGGTATAGCATTGAGTCTTAGGACAGAAGTAGCTTTCCTAGACTGGATCCCAGTAGATAGTCGTTTGTGAGCTGTCCGACTGAACGGTACAGTAAGGACTCGTAAAGATAGGGACACTCGCCGTTGCCTCTTCGTCGTATCCGCCTATGCCCCTGAAGCGCCCCTATGCATCTGAAGCGAGGGCGAGCTGCAGGTCCTGATAGACTGACCGCTGAAATATTTAAGGATGGTGGTCCAGCTTTAGCAACTAGGTTGACTGAGATCTTAGGTACAATCTGGGAACTGGACGTAATCCCATCCGACTGGTCTCAATCACTGATTGGCCCAATCTACAAGAAAGGACAAAAGTTTTCTTGTGACAATCACAGGGGAATCAGTCTAACCAAAATATAGTTTTTAAAATACTGGCCTCAGTAATACTTCGACGCTTAACGAAAGCTCGTGAAGAGCAGACTAGAGAAAACCAGTCTGGTTTTCGACCTGAACGTGGTTGTATAGACCACATCTTCACACTCAGACAGGTCCTGGAGCACAGACACACAGACGTCCGACAATAGTCGTCTTCCTGGACCCTAAGGCGGCATTCGACTCAGTGGACCTTGAAGTTCTGTGGCAGTGTCTGTCATTGAAGGGTGTACCAAAGCAGTACATTAGCCTTATACAGTCTCTCTACTCGAACACCACTGGTCGAGTGAGAGCTTATGGCGAACTGTCACCGGAATTCTCTACATCAAGTGGTGTCCGTCAGGGATGTCCACTTTCTCCATTCTTGTTTAATTTTATCATAGACATGCTCCTAGAAATAACCTTATCCTCGTCTGAATTTTCAGGAGTAGACCTATTACCAGGTGGCGCGCTTATTGACTTAGAATATGCCGATGACATTGTCCTACTTGGTGAAGACGCTGACAAAATGCAGAGTCTGCTTACCACCGTAAGCAACAATGCAAGCATGTTCGGGATGCAGTTTTCCCCATCGAAATGCAAAATGTTGCTTCAAGACTGGGTTGCATCGGCACCTGAACTAGTGATAGGGAGTGAAGTAGTCGAGCGTGTAGACCGCTTCACTTATCTTGGGAGTCTCATCAGTGTTGATGGCCTGGTGACTGAAGGAATCTCAGCTCGGATACAGAAGGCTCGATTGGCTTTTGCCAAGCTGAGTCACTTATGGCGAAGGAGTGATATCCTTTTGGTGACTAAAGGACGAGTGTACTGAGCAGTAGTTCGCTCCTTCTTACTTTATGGCTGTGAAACATGGCCAATGAGAGTAGAAGATATTCGTAGGTTACTGGTTTTCGATCATAGTTGTCTTCGAAGCATTGCTCGTATATCGTGGGACATCCGAGTGAGCAACGTTGTTATTAGGAAACGGGTGCTAGGCAAGAATGGCAGATCAATAGATGAAGTACTGAAACTTTATCAGTTGAGGTGGTTCGGACATGTGTTGCATATGCCTAACCACCGACTGCCTCGACGAGGTTTGTTTTGTAGTGTAGGAGTAGGTTGGAAGAAAGTTAGGAGCGGCCAGACCAAAACATGGCAGAAACCCATGAAGTCATTGACGAGTGGACTTAGCCATGTCGGTAGTTGTCGATTACCTGGTTGGGGTCCGCGAGATGATAATAATCGATGGTTAGATACCCTGAATGACATGGCTCAAAATCGTTCGCAATGGCGTCAGTGCATTTATTCTTTGTGTTCTCTCAAATCCTTATCGTCTGGATTCTTCAACACTTCTAGTTTTGACTTTCTAAACGTTTCTCACTGAATCATACTTCTTGAATAATATCTTCTCATCCTAACCTCTCCAATTACTGCTAATACCTTTAATACCTCTTCTACCATTGGATTTGAATTGACAGTTATATCTCTATGCTGGTATGGCAACATGAACTGATGTACTTACGTACAAAGTTCTACGTTGCATCTGACTGACTGGCTGAAGGCAAAAGGGTTTGGAAATCTCCAACCATTTTTGTTCCATTTTCCCAGTGCATGTTGTCCCATGATGTTTTTATATCCGGTGTTGTTCTTCCAATCTTGGCATATAGGTCTCCCATCAGAATGGTCACTTCCTTTGTTGGTTATTTCTCAACGATTGTCTGAGATTTCTCGTGCAATTGATCTTTTGCATAGCTCTGGTTGACGTTCATTGTAATGCCCTCTTTCTTTGTTTTGAGGAATGTTTGGATGATCCTTGGTCCATGAGATTCCTATCCTATTGTTACGGATAGTATCAGTGCAACTGCTTGTGTATGTGGAGCATTTTCTTTTTCAGGGCTGGACTATAATAGCAGCTCTGCTGAAGCTAGTCTTTGTTGTCCAGTCTGAATCCAATGTGTTTCACTGTTCCCAAGCTCCTGCAGGTTGTATCTTTTCATTTCTGCAACAACTTGAATGACACTTCAGGTATCCTACAATGTACGAACATTCCATGCAGGTATATTAATTGTTGCTCTGTTCGTTTGAACGGGCATCGACTTGGTGACTTCCGAAGGAACTCGGCTTTCATCATGGGACTTCATAACTCTTGTAAATGAAGACCTTCTAACTGCTAGGACAGAGTTTAAGTGGTTTGAGTTATTTTTTTGGTTAGAATTTCTTAGCGCGTTAATTTTATACGTATTGGAGTTGTCAACCCAGTGCTCAACACTTCTCCTTTATCCGTGCTTGGGACCGGCGGTAGCTTCGGAGTGTCTCCAGGCGGGGTTGTAATATTCTTACACAAACCAATACACAGACGGTTTTAGAGTAACCAATATGTAACTAAGACGAGAGAATTGCAATTCTGTTGTTGAAAAACTGGCCAATACTCGCTTGCAACTACCAAAGATGTAGAACATAGACTAATGACTATCAGTCCAAGATTTTTTGCTGTATTTCGGACATCACTTTATATGTACATTTAATCACAGTGGAAATTAATAACTATGAAAGAATGAGCCGAAAGTGGCTGTGAGTAGGATGCGAACAAAACAGGAACAGTAAATCGTCTGATAATCATTTATGGTTTAATAGAAAGCTTATGATAAAAGGAATCTGCACCCAGATATAACAAGGACTTCAAGGAATTGTACGTACATATTTCTTTTTTGTCACCGTGGCCATATCTCAGTTCATAGTTTATCATCGGGAAGCTAAATATTGTAACATAGTTTGAAACGATTTCACACTCAATACTGAAATAACATTTTCTTTAACTCGTCTGAGGCTGAATACTAGCCTTATAGCCAGAATTAGTTCCCCCTAATTTATAAACAGGCCTAGATTGTCAATAGATGTTGATTGATTCAGTCTCAAGAAGTTAGTAAAAGCTCTAATATGGACTCACTAAATAACAGGTAACCATTGTTATTCAATACATAGAGAATGTGTTCCTGTAAGACTTTCAATTTAGCGGGATCCAAGTCAAACTAATTGGTAAGTTTAAAACAAGGCTAAACGTATATCCTAAATCCGCTTTTATCCATTTCTAAGTATCAAACAACTATTTAATAGCTTTGTGATTTTAAATTATCCTATAAATATTGAAGAGTTATCATATGGATTTGAAATTAAAAAACAGTACTTTTTCTGATCCTGCCATCTGTATTTAGCTTCAACCGTAAAAAAGGCTTCTTTTGTGTAGCTACCAAAAACGCATTTAATTGGAATAATGGTTGTTTGGGTCGAAGTAAAGGAAGAGCTTATGAACAATTAGATCGTAATATTTTATCGCCAAAATTAATGGAATTATATTTCGCCAAAGCTAATCATAAACTGTACGAATTATTACAAGAATATCCTCTATGGTATAGTACACTGACACTAAATAAACACAAACTTCCATCATGGATAAAAATTAAAAATTAGCTTATTATTTTCCAATGTTTCTTGATCAGGTGTGCTTGTACAAAATATTACCAGTTTTGCATTTCTCGACTAATCAGCTGTTCTTCAGAAAAGTTTTTTTCTCTCTTACATATATTATTCATTAGAATAAACCGTAATCGTCAAAAGTAGATATTTCATTTATGTTTTTAATGGTTTTGGCCAGAAATCACTTGAAAAAGTAAGAAAATAATGACACGTGCTTCCGAGCCTCAATCGTAATGTCGATCAACTGAAATGCAGATAAAATTATTCGGGGTAATCATTTAAGATTTTGGATAGTGTTATGGGACAGACAGAGAGATACAACGCAGAACCTCGTACGTAAGTACACCAGTTCAGGTTGCAATGCCCCATCAGCACAGAGACGCAACTGTCAGTTCAACCCCAACAGCGATAGCGATAATAGAAGTATTAGCAGTAATGGAGAAGATTAGGGAGCGAAGATTTGATTCGAGAAGTATAATTCAGTAAGATAAATTTAGAAGGAGAAAGGTAGAGATTATGAGGAATGCAGAAGCTTAGAATTTCATAGAACACAAAGAGTTGATGCACCTGCGCCATTGCAAACGATTCTGAGCCATGTCGTCCAAGGTCTCTATCCATCGGTGACTATCGTCTCGCGGACACCAACCAGGTAGCCTACATCTACCAACATGATTCAGTCCAGTCGTCAGTGACTTCATGCATTTCTGCCATGTTTTGGTTTGGCCGCCCCTAGCTTTTTTCCAACATACTCCTACACTGCAAAACATAGCTCGTCGCAAAAGTCGGTGGTTAGCCGTACGTAACACATGTCCCAACCACCTCAACTGATGAGGTTTCACTACTTCATCTATTGATTTGCCATCCCTACCTAGAACTCGTTTCCAAACGACAGCATTGCTTATACGGTCGTCCAGTGTTATGAGAAGACGAAGATTATCAGAACTATATAATATATTATTCAAAGGCACCTATGTGAGCACACTTTGAAGGATTCTTTTGAGTTGTTCAATCATTTAGGTGATATTATTATCAGGAAAAAACAAGATGTTATTCTGACGTCAATTCCTTGTTCACGAATGTACTTTTAAGAAAGACTGTTGATAATGTATGTGACTATATCTTTGAACAACCTTACACTACCTGTTCTTCTAACAATCCTTAAATGTTTGTTACTATTTTGCACTGACAAAGGTGAATACTTCCGCCAGATCATTGGTGTTAGCATTATTATTAGCTGATGTTTTTATGGCGCATGTTGAAAATTTAGCTGAAGACCTAATTGAAAATATGTATATTCATAAGTGATATGTGGACGACATCTTAGTTATCTCTGATAAAAATGACATATATCATTTTTTGAGTAAGCGTAACATTCCAAAAATACATCGGTCTTTCGTATGAAGGAGCGAAGAATAAAGGACTTCGTTTTCTAGGCAGATTTATGAGTAGGCGAGATTGTTCAATCAAACAATCCATTTTTCGAAAACCAACTTGCACAGGTTAGTAGTTAGTTATCATGGTTATTGCCCAGTTTAATACAAACATGGTTTGACAAAGGATCTATTTAGTATGATTGATCTTTTTGTACAGTGGCAGTATTGAAAGCGAAGTGAGGTTGAAATAAACGCTGATGTAAAACGACTTCCCTTCAAAGTTCATAAATTGATGAGATCATGGTATAGTCAGATCGATTACATCTTTAGCGCAGATTAAGCCTAGTTATATCAATTTGCCGTTCAGAGGTGGGTCAAATATTGAAACAAAGGCTCATATATGTTGTCAGTGAAACGTACTACGCAACAAATGTCATTATTATAGAAAAAACAACGTCCATGTTACACCGAAAACCTAAAACGCATACCAACGACATCATACCCCTTTTTGTTTATAGATTTAAATGTGTGGCTAAACATACATAGGAAAGAGTAATCGTGCTTTGCAAATCAGTGTCTAAACATGCACCTAGACGGTCTCAAAAACAAATAAAATCGATTGATCTAGTACAAGTAGATGATAAATATTCATCGTCCTCTATTGCCAAACATATAGGTGAAACAGGTCATAAAAATGTTCTTAATTCCGCTTTTTATGTTGTATAAGTGTTTAAGGATGTATACTAAGGTTTATTGAAACCTTGACCATACAAAAGTTTAATTCACCATTACGTATTTAAAGACATTTTATTCTCACCCTAAACCTACTTTGGTAACGGGTTATTATCCAGGATAGGGGGTTTCACACTTATAATTTTCTCTCTTAACCTTACACTCCATTTGTCCAAACAACCTTTGATTTTCGTACACAAATGTTCTTAATAAGTGTATGTGTGATTAGACAGTTCGAAATGTTTGTGGTGGTGTTTCGTTCTCTTTCATTGTTCAAGAACAATGAAAGCTCCACAACCAGCTCAGAGAACGAAACACCACCACAATCATCCACCTGAGCTACAAGTTTTCTCCACCATCTCAAAAGTTCGAAATGTACTGCGCTAGTATATCACATACCTCTGATAATCTTCGTCTTTTTATTAGACTATCCAAATTTATCAAAGGAACTGATTACATTAAAAATCTAAGATTTTGCACATAGTTGCATTCAACTTCACTGCACATGTAGATATGTATATATAATAAACTTGTAAAGCATTAAGAAGCAATCATTTCTCTCTAGCTTATGAACATTAGGAAAAATATAGCAAACAACTGCAATGGGTAATTTAACTATTTAATATATTCTAACAACAGTATATACAATTCCACTAACAAGTGCATGCATTTTTAATTTATGGATGAGGCGCAACAGTGGAATATAGTCGCTTATGGATGGGGGATATTGGTTCTATATAGTGAGCATCGAGATAAGAGTCGTTTGAGTCACATAGAATACAAGCCAAAAGTATCTAGTGATTCGTACAGACATAGTTACTTTACATTATGCACAAATATACGTTCATTGTGGTTTTCCGAGAAGTTTAAATAGGGTAATGTATTGGGTTGTTAAATTTTTCCCAAAGTTTATACTTCACGAATTACATACAAAATCCGAAGGCTTCAGGATACGATCACAGAATACTTTTTATTTACAAACTTCATATTGTACGATGCAGTCACGAGGTAATGATTTTGATGCTTTATATAAATTCCATCATATACAGCGAGTTTTTTCAGCTTCCAATTAAGTGCTAGATCCACTTACTACAGTAGGTAAGTTAGACTTCATGTGTGAACTTTGAACGGGTTTTAATGAATTATTTTCATCCGGACAGCTGTATTCATTACTACCAGTTGTTGGATCAAGTTGTCTGTTTGAATGTTTGGAAGAGTGATCTGGCTTCCCAGAGCCTGGTACCAAAGAGATTGTTAGTTTCAAGGGCGATCGGTGATTGTTAACTGCCTCACTAGAATATTTGCAATCCAGTTGGTCAGATGAAGTTGCTGGATTCTTGTACGGAGTTACATCTCCAGAAGACGACTCCAAAAAATTCTCGTCGGTTTCGGTATCGTCGTCTTCTAGGCGCTGTTGTTCTGCTATGCGTCTAAAAGCACAAAAACACATCTTAGTAATCAACTCTTGTAATAGGGTCTGAGACGACAAAACAAAACCGCTAATGTGACAAAAGTGGAAATATATGTTTCCACATATCCATAATTATTACTAACTAGTAATCAGTGGAGTCACACATTGATTCCCAGCATTACGGAATATTATATGATACTCCAAATTTGAACCGTCAGTAATTTACCACACTTAATCTGCTCACACTTGAAAATGGTATTTCTGCTGACTATGGATTGGTCTCGAAATCTTAGAGCTTTATTTCATCTGATGTATATAAACCTATCGTCCATCAAACGTAGGTAAAACTCAAAATTAGTTTCCGTAAATTCTGTCTAGGTCTGAAGTTATGCTACGCACAAACTAAGAACAATTAAGGCAGGTAGCACAATGTCAGTCAGTCAGTTACAACGTAGAACTTCAGTTTAGATTGCCGTACCAAAGCACAGACGCAGTTGTCGTTTCAAATCCTGCAGTGGTAGATGAAGTATTAGTAATAGTGGTAATCGCGAAGATTAGGATATTATTCAACAAGTAGAATCTAGTAAAATAAGCTCAAAGAGAGATAGATAAAGCTGATAAATTCAGAAAGTCGGGAGTTGAAAGAACACAAAGAATGGATGAGTCTGCGTCATTGCAAGCGATTTTGAGCCACGTCATTCAAGGTCTCTAACAATCGATTACTATCATCTCACGGGCCCCGACCAGCGTCTTCACCAAATAGAACTATGTCATATTCTAAGTCAAAAAGCGAGTTAGAAGGTTCACCCCTGGAAATTCAGACGAAGATGATGTTATGTGGAGAAGCAAGTCTATGACAAACTTGAACAAGAATGGAGAAAGCGGACAGCCCTGACGGACACCACTTGAAGTAAAGAAAGAATTTTGATGACGGTTCGCCATCAGCTCTAACTCGACCTGTAGTGTTTGAGTAGAGCTTGTATAAGGTTAATGTACTTCTCTGGTACACCTTTTAATGGGGTACAAATAATAACAGTCATTCTAAATAGTTCGATGACTAGATTTTAACACTCACTTTCAGCAAACGGGCCGATAATATTGGAAGAAATCCCTTTAAGGTTTTGTGTGAGACATTTCGAAAGAAGGGAAATAATCTGTTGGTTTGACTTAACGGACTTTGTTAGTAAATTTTAACATAATAAAAGCAGATTCTAATGCTTTGCGCAAGAGAATGCGACCGTACAACGTCAAATATTTGCTAACATTTTACCACAGAAAGGTCCTACTTACTTGTTGGCTCTCCTTGAACTGTTTCTTCCCAATCCCATACAGTTAGACAAGTGGACAGCATAGCGTGTAGCAGCAACCTTACAATTACATTTCCCACATCGACAGCAGCTCGCAGTTTTGCTAGGGTCTCTACCAGGGTTCGCATTTGAAGAGCCATACCCAAGATTGTCTGATACGTTTGAATTTTGTTCAGGAGCAACAATATGAAAATATCCTAATTTTATTGCACGATGCATTGTTAGAATCCCATCCATCAGGCATGAGTCAATTAGCTCACTAATAAATTCTTGTAAAATATCTTGGAGATCGGTGTGTGGGACAGCGAAGGGTTTTTGCATTTATTTCGTATTATTACTGTTGTAATCTTAGGTACCGCTACTTAGTAAACAAAAAATGAAAATGTATTTTTTCTAAACACGGTGTATATACATATATATTCAGGGAAGATATGCAAGTTTCTAAGTTTGTAGGAATCAAAACGGAAAAATAAGGACTGCCAACAATGACAGAAGTAAACGAGCGGAATGTTACAGGCTAGGCTTATCACTTGTTTGAATAAAAGTGATCATGTGTGCCGTTATACACTGATCATTATTCTTACACCACTTTCAGGCATGTGCTATGTAATGTATGTAGACTGTTCTAAAAAAGACATAAAGACGATTTGAGGGTAGTGACAACCACAGAGACCCTAGGAAAGAAGTAATCAACAGAAGGCGCAATAAACAGACACCTAATTTCGGAGTAACACCAACTGACGGCCACCATAGACATAAAATGAATTAGGACGATCTGGAGTTCCGGATTTTACTGAAGTTAAATTAAGGAATATAGATTTAAGTTCTGAGTATTATATACTCTAGGTTTTCGGGCAAAAACAAGATCTGTAATATAAAACCGTATACGCAAGTGAAGAAGAACTTATAGAGGCTAAACCGGTGCAAGAAAGCAACACATCAAAATGCTCTAAAAGCCAACACTCAGAGGCCCGTCCACCTTCATTTACGTCGAAAATTTCAAACATACATTCCGAGGACGACCTTGCGAAACGTCCTTTAACTCCTCAGTATCCAATAATTTTTGTATGATCAAATGTAAACCAATAGATTTCTTTCGGGACAGTTCCAGATGTTTGTTAGTGCCCAATAAATGGGGGTCTAGCAACTCGGCTGTCTAATTCTAGTCAGTTGGCAATTGGTTGTATGTCTCGGGATTTGAATGAGTGTGTTCGTTTCAGGGCAGTAGGGTTTCTGGATACCAGCAGCTATCACATTGTCAGACCGAAGCTCAGTTGGTTGCAATGTGGAGAGTAATAAGGATAAAATCTTATGCTAATATGAATAAAATTTCAGAACTGAGTAATATATATATGAATTTAGTTTGTTAATTGGTAGTGAAGACTGCGAGAGAGGACCGAAGTGTAAGCAAAGGAGAGGAAATAGGGATAAAAGGCGAGATAGATTAGTTGAGTGATCTGGGAAGATGGCAATGATAACAACTATCAGGTCTCAAGATATGCATCATGAGCAGCTTGTCCAAGAGGGAGATGATGATCCGTATGTGAGTACGTGATTATCAAGTCTCTTCTTAAAGCTGTCCAATGAGGTGTTGTGGCCACCTCGGATGGGAAAGCATTCCAAGTTGCAACGACTCTCAGTGAGAAAAAGTGTGCACGAACCTGAGTATTCGCCCTTTGATTTTTCAATTTTTTGAGGATTGCCTTGAGGGAAGTGTTGGTGATGCATCGGTAAGATGCTCACATTGGGATGGTTTGGCGTGCTCGATATGGTGTACGCCATAATCTGATCACCTCTGATCCTCCTGTGACACAAGGAGAATAGTCCGAATCGCTGTTGTCTATCTTTGTCAGTTTTATTCTTCAACCTTATCACTCATTTAGTTTCCCGTCTCTTCACCCTATCCAAAAAGCGGGGTGCGACGACTTTGTGTACAGCGTTAAGAATAATTTTGTGATGGCACTAAATTTTCTTCGCATAAAGCGAACAGTTTCGTTAGCCTTGGCTCCATTCTTTATATAATTCGACCTGGCTTCGATGCTTTCTGTGATTAATAAACCGAGATCGTGCTCTAGGGAGACGTTAGGGAGCGGACGTCCACTGAGGGTGTAGGTTGTATTTGTTTGTGTCGCAGGATCAGCATAACGTGAAATTTCGATTGGTTCAGTTTTAAACTGTTTTTAGCTGGCCAGTCCTTAATATTTGTAGTGTCCTTTTGATACTCAGTCGAATGCTTTTATGGACCTCCACATCCTTTCTTCATCTGCGTAGATGAATACCTCTGAGCTCTCCTTGCTTAACAGATCCTTAATGAATACCAGTAAGAGGAGTTGACCTAAGATAGTCCACAGTAAACCTTCCGATATAGAGACTCTTCAGCACTTTATTTACCTTGGTGTTAGACTTTCTATACTCAAGGTAGTTTCTGAACCAAATAAGAATGGGTCAGTGGACCCCAGTTACACAACCTTACGTGACTAAATGATTTTAGTTTTCTTAGTACTAGGCCAGGTGTAAACCGAATATTCCCCAAACCATCGGCCGGTAGTAGGTACGAGGATTACACATAACGTTTAGGTACTTAGTTTAAGTTGATTTTCATTCCTCACACTGTATATGTTGGAAAAAACTTTCCAGGTAGCGATATGGTCATATGCAGCCTTGATATAAGAGCTACAACTATAAAATATAAATCAACTACACTTCGTAAAGACTTTCGTAGGATTGATTGGTCATACTTCCGCAATTTCCTCAGAAGCATTGACTGGACTAACTACTTAACCTCACACAATATCGACGAACTGATGAATGTATTTTATCACAACACAAATAGCATTTTCAACGAATTTGCACCATTAGAATCCTGGCGACCCAGAATTCCTAAGGACTTATATATGCCAGGTCATATACGAAAACGTCTTCGAAGACATGCTTCCAGATTTCATAACTGTAATGACTTCTCCTCATTAGTAACGATGACTGAAATATGTGTCGAGGCAGAAATAACACGTACTAAAAAGGCAATCTCACTCATAAAACTCCTTCAAAATAAACTCAAATGCTCTAAAGTGAAAGGGGGGAGCATATTTATTAAGGACAATCAAGTGTATGACGACCCTAACAGTATCGCAGACTTATTTAGCGAACATTTTTGTGACACATTCACAAACGAAAACTCAACAAATGAGTCACACCTGACCCAAACTCCTGCCGGTGAAATCGCTAGTGTTGAATTTAGTGTACAGAACATTTCTAAGGCGATTAGTACACTGAAGCACTCTTACATTGAAGGACCAGATGGCATCCCAGCCAGCATGCTGAAAAATGGTAGCAATGATCAGTGTGTTAATCTTCTCAAACTACTTACTATATCACTCTTCACAGAGTGTTACCCTAATAACTGGAAGACTACACATATCATCCCACAATAAAATCTGGGCCTACAGCGAACGGTGAAAATTACAGACCTATAAACATAACTTCGGTAGTATCTAGGGTTATGGAGAAAATAGTTAAGACAGAGTTACTACAACATCTAGTTAGCAACAATCTGATATCGACCTCACAGCATGGGTTCTTGAGGTCCAGGTCGTGTGATACATGTCTGTTAGATTATTTCAACGATATCACGCATAAACAAGACAAAGGGCTTCTGGTATCAGTCCTTTTCTTCGATTTTAAAAAGGCTTTTGATAAAGTCCCACACAACAGGCTTCTACTTAAACTGAAGTCATTTGGAATCATCAACCCACTACACTCATGGTTAGCTTCATTCCTAAATGGGCGACAGCAAATGATAAAGTACAACGACTGTCTTTCATCACCAAGACCAATAACCAGTGGAGTTATCCAGGGAAGTTTCTTAGGTTCACCCTTGTTTCTAATGTACATAAATGATATATGTAATACTATTAAACTCGGAAGAGTATACTTATATGCTGATGATCTGAAAATAGTATACAGCTATAAGCCTGAAGATCTGGACGAAAATATAGCTGTGATTCAGAGTGATCTTGATAACTTAACTACCTGGAGCGAGACATGGCAACTGCCGTTTAACCACAACAAAGGTGGCATAATGCATTTTAGAAAGCGTCACCTTGATACACCACTCTACTTACAAGAATGTAGGGTTCAGACACTTATATCAGCGCGTGACCTTCGTATTAGTTACTCTAGAAGCCCAAAATTCGAAGAGCATGCCTCAAATATTATTTCTAAATCTAGACGACTAATTGGGTTTATAAACAAGAACTTCTTCACAAGTGAGGCTAAGCTTACTTTCTTCAAAACTGTATGAGGCCCACACTTGAATATTGTTCACTCATCTTTTTATTTAAGTATTAACTGTTTAGCAAATATTTATTTTCCCAATTCATTAACATCCAAACACCTTGCCTGCTTACCAACCTATCGCTTTACTCATTAATTTTTAAAATTATTTCAACTATATTTTTCTCTTTCTCCTCGTTCCAGCTCCCTGTCCTTCCTATTTCCAAAATACCTATTAACTGACTCATCTTACAAATCATACCATTCGTTTACTTAAAATCAGTGTGATATGCTACGTGGATATATTGTCTGGTAAAGTTGTCTGTATCGCTTGTAATATGGAGCTAGTAAAGAATGGTAATTCCGATAAGGTGTACAAAAAATAGAGAGTAGACTAGAGACCATTATTTGCAATCAACCATTAAACGTAAGAGAGCCTAAAATCACAAAAGGAGGGAGGGTGGTTTATCTGACCAGCATTCACGATGGTGGGGCGATAACCTCAATCTACCCATATCTGTGTGGCAGATTATTTTGTTTGCTTACGGCTCCTTACGATATAGCAGGATGTAACAAATCAGTGATATTGATGTTACTTTCCCTTGTTAACCTTGTCTACAACTCATGTCTGTAAACTTGCACTGGTTTTTACTTCCTACAGAGAAATCCTATTACAAGCTGGTCTGGACAACTATACTAGAATGGAGCTCATTCACAACTTCTTCAGCTGCAGAGTTAAAAATAAAAAGAATAAATAAAACAAACAAATTATATCACTGAGCCTTTTTATTATATTTTGTAAATCAACACTATTACTAACAACTTGGTTCTTCTGAATTTCCTCTATTCATACGACTAACTTCTCATTAGTTATCTCACTACTGAATTGTCTTCATTAACCTACATAAGTGCAGGTGTACAGTTAGTGTTCTGATATAAAAAAAGTCTGAGTAGACCTACATTTGTCTTATCCATAAACGTATGTGCAAAGGCGTTGTTCGGCTTTGAACAAGAATATTTTCTGTTCCGCTCCTTATCCCGTTTTCTTT